ATAATAATAAAAGAAATAGAAGAACATATAGGCTATTCTTATTGCCTTGATGAGATAAGATATTGGAGGCCCCTGCTTCAGCAAGTGATCATAGGTTGTCTTTCTGTAGACTAAACCTATCCTGTGGTCTATGAATACGTCATAAAAATCTTATCAAGCAATAGGGCTTTAATAATTTCTCCTCTTCTGCCATCATCACAAGACTTTCAAAGAAATGTTAAAGACCAGTTGTTTGAGATTTATTATTTTAATAAAACATCTTTTTTATTAATTTATTTTTAATTAGAGTTGACATACAATATTAAATTAGTTTCAGGTGTACAACATAGTAAGGAGACATTTATATACTTTATGAAGCGATCACTCCAATAAGTCTAGTAACCATCGGACAATATATGTAGCTATTAAATGTTATTGACTTTATTTCCTATGCTGTACTTTATATCTCTGTGACTGTTTTTATAACTGGCAATTTGCACATCTTAAACCTTTCTCCATTTTCACCCATTCCTCAAACCCCTCCCTTCTGGTAATCAAAATGTTCTCTATATCTGAGAGTTTGTTTCTATTTTGTTCATTGATTTTGTTTATTTTTTATTTTTATTTTTTTAAGATCATAAGGTTTTTAATGGTACTGAAATTTTTTTTTAAGTTTATTGCGGTATCATTGGTTAATATAATTATATAACTATCAGGTGTACATTATAATTTGACATCAGTATATTCTATTGTGTTTTTACTACCTAAAGTCTAGTTTCCTTCAGCTACCATATATTTGACCCCCTTTACCCCATCAACATTCCCTCTCCTCCCCTACCCAACTACCCTCTGGTAAACACTAGTTCATCGTCCATGCCCATGAGTCTCTCTTTATTTGTCCTGTTCATTTGTTGCTTTTAGGTTTATATCCCACATGTAAGTGATATCATGTGATTTTCAACTACTTCTGTCTGGCTTATTTTGCTTAGCATGATTATCTCAAGTTCCACCCATGTTGTCGCAAATAGCAGTATTTCATCTCTTTTTTTTTTTTTAATTAAGTTTATTGGGGTAACATTGGTTAACACAATTATATAATTTTCAGGTGTACATTATCATTTGACATCTGTATCTTCTATTGTGTGTCTACAACCCAAAGTCCAGTTTCCTTCAGCTACCATATATTTGATCCCCTTTATCCACTTCAACATTCCCTTATAACCCTATGTCTGGCCCCCTTTACCCCGCCTAGCTCCCTCCTCCTCCCCAACCCCACTAGTAACCAACCCCACTCCTCTATAATCCTCTGGTAACTACTAGTCTATAGTACATGTCCATGAGTCTCTGTTTGTTTGTCCTGCTCATCTGTTGCCTTTAGGTTTATATCTCACATATAAGTGATATTATGTGATTTTCAACTTTTTCTGTCGGGCTTATTTCGCTAAGCATGATTATCTCAAAGTTCATCCATGTTGTCACAAATAGCAGTATTTCATCTATTCTTATGGCTGGGGAATATTCCATTGTATATATGTACCACCGCTTCTTTAGCCAACCATCTATCCTAGGACCATTCAGTTGCTTCC